GAGAACGTCTGTTTTTTGGGTTGGCAAAAGGATCAGCGGAAAGAGTTTTTTTTATATCTAATTACTTTCCATTTATAATTTATAAATAAATTTATATATAAAAACTTAATCAAAATTTTTTAACTTATTTTTTTTTATTTAAAATTATTATTTTATAATAAATTTATTAACCAACTATTAATAAAACTTGAATATTTTTATTATTACATTATAAAATATATATATTTAAAGTTTTATATTAATTAAATAATTATTATTAAATTATATTAAAAAATATTAGCTCAAAAACCTTTGTAATACACTGTATATCTTGTTATATACAAATTAAATAAAGAAATAATATTTATCTACAAAAAAAAAATTAAATAAAAATATAAAAAATCAATAAAAATATAATAAAAATACATATATATATAACAAATATTATTAATTATAAAAAATTATTTATATATTTAGAGAAAAAATATTAAATTAAAATAAATATATAAATAAATAGAATTTAAAAACAATATTAAAAAAAAAAATTAAAGAAAATATATAAAAAAACATTTGATATAATAAAATTTTGAAAAGTATAAGAATTATAATAAATTTATAAAAAACAAATAAAATAAAATAAATAATAAAAAATAAATTTATCAAATATTAATTATAATTATTAAATATTATTATAAATATAATTTTTTAAAAAATTTTATATAATTTGTTAAATATAATAATAAATTAAATTTTTGCAAATTGTAATTTTTTAATTTTGTTAAAATATATATAATATCAAATAATTTTATTAAATTTTATAGCAATTAATTATTATTATTACAATTTTGTTAAATGTTTAAATTGAATTGTTATTAATAAAAAAATTATCAATTGTATTTATATTAAAATTTTTAAAAATTAAAATTTTTTATTATCAAATATTATTTTATTAATTATTAAATATTATTTTTGTATTTGTCAAATATTATATTTTTAAATTACTAAATATTATATTTTTAAATTATTAAATATTAAATATTTTTTAAATACCAAGTAACAAATTAAATTAATTAATATAATTTTAACATAAAATTTTATTAATAAATTTATATTATATTGATTATAATTTAATGGTCAAATAATATAATTTAAATTAATATGAATTTTTAAATTAAAATTTACTTAAATAAAATTATAAAGTATTTTATTGATTAAAATTTATTATAGATAGAAATTTAAAAAATTAATTAACAATATAAAACTTTATATAAGATTAAATATTTATATTTATATGAAAAATAAAATCAAAATTTATTTTATTAAATACTTATGTTATACTTAAAAAAAATAGATATCTCGAATTTTTTTTATAACTCAGAGCTAATTTGTATAAAGTAACTGTATTGCTTTTATATAATAGAATAATCTCAATTAATCTATATAATATAATTATAATACCTTTATATAATTAAATATTTAATCATTTCTAAATAATTGAATATTATTCAAAACTTAATTTAGGTTTTTGAAATTTATTTATTATATTTTTGAATAATGTTAGAATGTATGTGATTTTTAAGAAATTATAAGCTTGCTCTGTTCAAGTTTAAAATTATAAATAAAAATTAAGCAAAAAATATATTTTATAATTTAATTGTTGATTTTTATCTGCCATCATTATAATATACAGTATACGTATATGAAATATGTAAAAATTTGTCATAAATTAAAAAAATAAATAAATCTATTTTTATTTTTTAAGAAAAAATCGATAAATTATAAAGAATAATAATGAATGATGATTTCTTACTTAATTTATCTAAATTTTTTAAAGTTGTTTTTGGAGAAAAAAAATTTTTTTCTTTTCAAATTGTTTTTAAGTTAGAATAGTAAATTTATTTGCTATATTTATATTATATATCATCAATCCGGAGCAGTAATAATTATTGTAAAAGAATTTATTTCCATGTCTATTTTAAATACTACATACAGTAAGGCCCATTTCGCAAAATAATTTGGTTGAATTGACGAAGTGATAATGATTACCCGAAGTCAAGTATGCAGATCACGTCCAAACTTAGTATCGTGGTGATCACAATGAAAACTATAAATAGGCGAGAAGCCAAAAAGAAACAAGGATGGTTTTGATATTCGATTACGAAAATCTACGCATCTATCTAACTTCTAAGATTAACAATCGAATATAATTAGACATGAGTTATGAAGAAGGAGGAAGAGGTATTTTTCCGGTAGAATCGATTAAAAAATTTTTATCTCTTACATTTCTTTCGGTTGAATGTGATTTATTTTTCCTTAGCAAGACGACAATCGACGCCCGACCTAAAGTGGGAAGATCAAGGAGATATATCTAATAAGGATGATGATGAATGGGTTGAGAATGAAATCGAGGAAATGGAAGAAATGGAAGAAATGGATGACGAGGATGAACCAGAGAGATACGAGGTTGAAAGTGTAATGTCACGAAAAATTGAGGAAGTGAGTTTATCCACGTCTTCATGGACATCCTGCAATCATAAAAAGATAAAGTTAATAACTTTTTGTGCAACTTGATCATCTTTATGGAATTTTAGGGAAAGGAAAAGTTCTTAGTTAAATGGAAGGGATACACAAAACCCACGTAAGTCCATGACAGACTAGCCGTATTTTACTTCATCATTTTCAATGTAGACACATTCCATTCTTCTTTTCAGCTGGGAACCCCGAGAAAATCTTGATAGCTGCGAGCAGTCACTAGAAGTCTTTTACAAGGTGGCCGAGGATACCGATTTGGTGACAGAACCAATTTCTACGCCGATTGGACCGCCCACAGATGATGATTTCAAGCAAAAATTGCGAGATGCTTATGAATTCAGCTTACACCTGGACATGGAACTATACGATAGGCTGATTCTCAAGCGAGGGGTTAAAGATAGCGGGGATATAGGTCCCAAGATAGAAACTGTCCCTATTGTTATTACGCCATCAGGCAGACAGAATAGTATATCTAGGAATTAACGCCTTCCGGAAATCGGATCTTTTAGAGAATTAAATCATTTCTGTGAAGTCATATTAAGGATGTAAAATATTTGATATAGATTATTTATATATCGATGGAGGATAAATATAAACCACGATTTCCTAAATAACAACTAAGAGAACTAACTAATAAAAAATCGTAGAATTTTGCTCCCGATATTCTTCGTTCGTTGTTATCGCACGAAACAAGTTAATTCCTGACGAATGATTTTTATCGAAAAGAGAAAAAAGGATACGTAGTTCATATAACCTAAACAAATATTTATTGTCCGAAGAGTATAATTTTTAACCAAATCGTATGGATTTCTTACTGTAAAGAATAGATTTCAAGGAAATAAAGACTTGCTATTTGTTTATTGCATAAGATAAATGTGATATCGAAAGGATGACAATTTATGATGTCGATTTTAACCAATTAGACAGTTTTTTTACCAGCAAAAAGCAATCTAGTTTGTTTATGGAGAATTTAGGACATCCAGTTTCGGAGTAAATATTTTATAAAAAAAAAGACCTTTTATGTCAAATATCGAAATTACATGCTTTAAATAAAATACCACGCGTATAAATTTGTCGTTTCTTGATTCTCTTCATCTAAACTAGCAATGAGTTCTTTAGATGATTTTATACATAAAAATCCCAGGAATTTTTTGGGAAATAAGAAAAGTAAAATTGAACACGTCTGTACTAATATACAAACATTTCTTTGACATGTTCGACTTTTAAATTTGAGAAAACCACTTTAACGGACTAACGTTTTCACTGAAAGGTTTCCCAGGAAGAAAAAAGAACACCAAACAAAAATTCTGGAAACGATTCTCTGGAACGTATTGACACGCCGACAAAATCATATTATTGCGGATATTTAAGACAGAAAAATACTTCAAGGTTATCGAGGTCACCTAAAGATTCTTACAGAAATGACAATCCAGTATTTCGACAGGTGTCAACCGAAACTGATAGACTAACCAGATCGGAGGCCGAAGGAAATGGAACACGGACGATTCCCACGAATCTTCATGAAGGAAATGAGGGAGTTACAGAGAGACATTTAAGCCATAATGTTAGTAAAAGAACTTTGGTAGAAACAACCGAAGTTACATCGATTGCTTTTTCTTATCCAAATTTAAATCGCGTTAATTGCACGTACGCAAATTTAGGTTGATTTATCCCTTCAGTCTTATCAACCCCAACGTTTGCTAGGAGATTCGCAGAGAATGAAGCAAATAGAACTTTGTGAGACATTTTCATGATTGAATACATTAAATAATGGTATAATTAATATTAACACATATACGAAATAAAGATTTAAACCGATTTCACACACAAGCCATTCTCGATGCCAAAGAACGTTCCCAAATCATCAGAAAACAAGTTCGTGAACTGATCGATTCGTCTTGTAAAGTGTCATTTCCGCTCATTCGGCATATTCTTTTTAGTCAAAATCCAATATCAATCGATACGATATCTTATTGCGCGTTGACCTGGGAATTCTTTTGGATTTCAGTCGTGAGAATTAACAAATGCTGCGTTCGATGTATTGTGTCAATGCAATAGATTCATATGTAAACGTTTAATGCGTTCTAGCTGAGCTTGGCAACGACCTCCTTAATAATTTCTTCACGCTAAATCTGCAAGAAGACATCGCGGCAAATTGCTTATTATCTCTTCGATCTATGTCCAACTCAGAAGGAACACTGTCAGAACAGGTTAGATGCAAAATCCGATTGAATTTTTTACCAGAACTTCCCGAGTGAGCATCAACAATCTGGTCTTATTCATAACGACAGGTATTTTGATTTTTTTTTTAACGTAAAAATTATTTATTGTCACAGATACCAGATGCAAACGATCTCATCGGCGTTTCATAAAACGCGATACAATAAAAATTTATTGTTTGTCAACTTGAAAGGAACTGTCGAGTGTATTTGGATGCCGACCTTTGTTATGCAAGTTATACAGTATTATAAATGATTTTAATGCAATTCAAACATTTAAGATTACTGAAGGAGAATATTTTATATAGATTCAGTCGTACGTTTGCGTGCGATAGTGTTGAATGTTGTAATGGAAATTATGTGCAGACTAACACAAGGTAGAACTGTTGCAATCCATTTTGTTTTGCGACTTTTACGAATCATATTAATATATTTCTGGTGTAACTATAAGTGGTATTCATATAAGGTGCAGCAATTGTGGTGCCGAGATGCAAGAAATGGTGGTAGACAGGGTATACACAAGTAATTGGATTTCTTAACAGATGTTTTCGATTGGAGCTTCATAATATTTAAATTGTTGCTTGAAAGCGCGCCAGTGTATTCGCCTGTCATGCACAAATTCCGCCGAAAGCAGTGGAATTTTTAGCAATACGATACTCGCATTTTTAGAGGGTAGATATAATTTGACATTCATTTCATTCACATTTCGTGTTCTATTACTATGCCAGCCAAACAAAAATTTTTATCGTCGTCAGATGACATGGTGAATTCGGTTGAAATTGGTGAGGTAATTGAAGTGATAGGATTGGTTGGAAGACACTTTCCCGGCTTCGGTGGTATGTGAATCTTGTCCACTTAAGAGAAATACATATATGTTACTACAGTATATGGTTTAAATTTGTACTGGATCTTTGCTTTAGATTCCAGGCATTGCAGTAGACTATGGCACGATAGCGGTTTGCATATTGAGGAAAGTGGTTGGAAAGTCATCCATAAAGAACACGTGACAAATAATAATTTCTAATAATGCTCGATTTTCAGGTTAACAATATCAAAGACGTGGCAAAGGTAATCCTGTTGTATACACAATACACTATCGTGTTTCTTTTTACCTAATTTACATGTATTTCTCATCCTCAGGCAAACCCGTTTAATCGCGAATTATTTTTCCCTGATCTCCCAGATTATATAGTTCATCTTCGGAAAGGTTGGTAGGTAGTGTTTATGTCCAAATGATTCCCAATTGTTCATGACATTTCATGTCGTTAAAATGATAGCAAATCTATCGTCTTGGGCGTTCACGCAACGACTTGTGGATGTGCTTTTTGGTAAGAAATAATCAATGCTTCCGATGGACAACCAACCACATCTATTACCCTAGGCTTTATTCTTTATTAAGATGACATCGCACCACGCTTTGTATATCGAAAAATCAAGTTATTTCTTTTGTTAAGGTACAGTACTCGCAAAACTCGGATTGCGTTTGTAAATCTTGATTTTTTAATTCTTTAAATTTGTTTGCGCAGCCTTGTTGCATTGTCCGAACGGAAACAATCAAAGAAACGTGGCATTTCTCAAAGTATTCACACCATGATTGTGTGCGATGGTTACAATTCGATTGTTCCCAGAATGATGCGTCGCATGTCTGAACTTAAAAGGTGAAAATGTATGAATGGTAAATTTTTTTCGTATTGAACAAGAGGGTTAATGTTTTCAATGCGCCGCCGACATTCAGGCATGAAGAGTGGATTCACGGCCTCGGTCAGAAGAAACAACCACTTTTTATTATTCAGGACAAACGATCTAATAAGGAAACATTCATTGAATGTATTGTGATTCCAATTTTCTTCTCGAGTTCTCCTTCTCTCTTTATAACGCACGCTCTTGCTCCTTTCAGCAACCATCCTCGCAGGATCACGAGATGGGATTCTCTTGGTGGACCTGGATTCACTGAGTAAAAGAGATGTGGAGTCATTGCGACTAGGCAAGTTGATAAAGGCGTCGCATGCGGATTAATATTTTTTTTCTCTAATTCCCGTCATTACATATCACGACCTATAACAGTGATGAGCAAAAGTTCGAAATTGTCATTGCAAAATCAACATCACACGATAAGCATTGACCCAAACACCTGTTGTTGGGGATGGTCGGTCACGAAACCTTTCGTCGGAAATGGAGGTATTGACAGGCAAGGACCGATCGAAGGAATTTATGTAGGTGGATTTATAAAGCGTGCACCAACTGTCAAATTCTCTAATCATTTAATATACAGTATATTGAAACTCGGTCATTTATAGTCCATATGTAATGACCCTATTAGGCCAGTGATAGAGTGAGATACGATGCTCAATTGAAATATTTTTATTTCATCCTCTTTGTTTTTTCTAATTTCTTTGGTATTTCAGCACATTTGATCTTGTGGTGCACCTAAAAGAAGTGATCGAGTCAGAAGCATGCAATTTATTATTAGATCATTTGCTTGACGAAGCAATGTCTGGAATACAAAATAATCGTAGTCCAAATTACGGATTGTCATTTGATGGGTTGAAAAAGGTAACAAACAATAATCCTATTTTTATTGTTCCAAAACAAGATACTCGATCTAATTTCCATTCAAAAAAAAAAAAGTATATTTCCGTGGCGAGCGGCATCGAAGTCAAGTAAGTTTTTGAATTTATGTTGTTTTGCACACCCATCGCACGTATTCATTTCTTTCGATTGCAAGGTTATCGACGGAATGTAAAGATCTACTTCGCAAATACTTCCTGATAACCCGCAAGCTCAAAGGAGCTAGCCAGGGGTTTGCTTCTTCAACTGCTCTGCTTGAGGTACCTACCAATAATTCTTTTTAACTTTTTAAACCGAGTAATGTTGCATTCATATGAGTAATAAATGCTTTTTTCAGACTTTGCTGCGTTTAGCAAGTTGTCATTCCAAAGTAAGTGAAGAATTAGTTACGTTATAATTCCTTTTAATGACTATCATCTCAGACAACTAAATGCACTACCAAAATATAAATTGCTGTATATGAAGTTATGCCTTCGTAGTGTAGGAAGCATAGACGACGCGTTAGTTAGCATATTGATGGTCGAAGAAACTTTGGTATCAAAGTACGGATCTTCGGCTTCAATCCTCGGTTTCGTTTCACTTCCGGACGACGGAGAAAATTTGCACAAGCTATATGCTGACCAAAATTACGTCGACACCAATTCATTGTGTGATTTCAACACCACCCGAAAAAGATCCACAGATAATGACGAGAGCGAATTTATATCTTACCTTCAACACGTATCAAAGATAGATGAAGAAGAGATGGTAAAAATGTATCAACATTTAATGCGCGTCTTGAGATCATTTTACAATGAAAATGGTGTCAACGATTCCATTAGCGATTGCGGTAGTTGTAGTGAACTCGATGAAAGCGAAGATGAAATGTGAGTTGCTTATTGGTGACGACTAGTGATCACCGACTGAATCCTGATGTGTACATAATTTCGCATACTGGTCTTAAGCTTGACACGCAATTACCTTGAGAATTTAGTATTGGTTACACGCTCTGTTCATTGTATTTTTTTCTTTTTATGTTGGCATCCGTATTTGTGATCTTTATTTTCAATCTCGAAAGTTCACACATTCACGTGCCCTGAGTTTACCTTTTCTTCTTCTCTTGTATCTCGATTTAATCATGCGTACGTGACTCATTCGTCTGAAAAACCACTTGATTTAATTTGGATAAGAATTCAAAAAGGTGTGGTCAACTCATCCATCATATGATGGTTACACACTCTCACATTGGTGGATTTTACAATACAATGTATATTGTGCATATCTATCATTTGGTGATAAATCGTAAGATTTTGATTTGATGTTTTTTTCGGTTCATTCAACATTGATCCATTTACAGTATTCACAGAGAACTTGATGAGAAGGTGCAAGAAACTATTATTGTACGTGCATATTGCGTACTTAGTGAAAATTTTTCATGCAGTATCACCAAAAATTCTAATACGTACGTACTAACATCCACGTTTTTCAAATGGTATTCTATTTTTTTTTTTTTTACAAAAAAAAAACAAGTTTTCTGTTTATATAATTAACGAGAATAGCTTTAGTTTGCTCGATTTTCTTTTTTCGTTTTTTTCCTTTTTTTTTTTAAAAAAAAAAACCATCATCATTATTTCTTTTGTCCTGTACATGCCCTTGGCATTTTGAGAAATACAAAAATCTGAACTCTCTCACCATAAGGAACATTTAAGCAAATTAATCACAAAAAAAAAGAACAATTTATATTCTTGGATAAAGTACATACATGTGTATAAGTTGTCGCTTGATCACTTAATCACCTAATATAAGGTAACTCTTAAATTTGACATATTCAGCTCAAGGTGTCATACGAAGGAGACTTCTACCTTCGGACAAAAGGTTCCTGCCTGCATTTCACGATAAGTCCATACGAAAACTCAAGGAATGAATGAGGACGAAACACAAAAACTTGTCAATATAGTACAGGAATCTTTAAACAATGATCCGAAAACCATTCGGCTTTATATGATGAGCATCCGTGAATTTCCGGTGAAGGTGATAGAAGTGGCAAAGGAATATAAGGTTGAAAGGTTCGTGAGTTTTCGGTTTTCGAAAAACACTTTACCGATCCCGATGGTTTGAAGCAACTCACGAAAGACTGCAATTTGAAAATTTTCCAATATAATCAGGCTTGGAATAGATCAAAATCAGTTGTCCACCTTACCTGCCGAAATTTGCAATTTCACGCACCTCCGATATCTCGACATATCTCAAAATGCGTTCAGATCATTCCCTGATGCGGTAAAATTTTTTTGTGATTATGATGTTCGAAATTCAAAATAATCATAATACTCGAATTTTTCGATTTCTGAAAATTTCTATCCAATCTCATTATCACTCTCATAAAAGCTTTGTCTGATGCCGAATTTGGAAATCCTGGATGTTAGCAAAAATAAGATACGAAAATTACCCAAGGACTTTGGAAATTTGATGTCGTTAAAGGTAAACTGGTTGGTTTAATTCCCTCGGTCGAATTAGTTGGTTGAGTTTTTCTTAACAATTCGATTAATCCGCTGATCAGATATTGCAACTGTCCAAAAATCAAATACGGTTGGTAAACAATGCAATATTATAATAATTAAATCTCTATTCGCTATTTATTTTACTGATTGTTATTTTTTTAATTATAGTAAGTATCTTATATTATTTTAATTATCAATGACAAAGAATATCGAATTATCAACAATGATGTAATGATGACAATTCGATATTCTTTGTCAAATATAAATAAGTCCGCTTTGCATATTTGAGCAAGATAATGTTAACGATAAAGTATCGAGGAGCACAAGAAATTCGAAAAACATACGAAATTTCATCTGAAACATTGAGAAGGTGGAACAACCA